GCTTCCACTGAAATGAAAGTATTTTCAAGAGAGTTTACCTTTTTTGAAGTTAATTCTGTGTGTTTATAATAGTATTTGGCATGGAATGGATATTCAATGTTTGTTGAATGAATAAACAAACCTATCCTTGATGCCTTGTATGGTATGGTATACATATCCTTGCATAATTTCGCATGAGTGCATGGGTGGAGGAAAATCTTTCATCTAACTTTTTTTTTTTTTTTTTTTTTTTTTTGGTTTTTCGAGGCAGGGTTTCTCTGTAGCTTTGGTGCCTGTCCCAGAACTAGCTCTTGTAGACCAGGCTGGCCTCGAACTCCCAGCCTTCCTCTGCCGAGTGCTGTAATTAAAGGCGTGTGCCACCACCACCTGGCCTCATCTGACGTTTTGACTTTTATTTACAGGTTCTGATGGCAAATACCTAATGAATGAAGATAAAGAATCTTAGACCAGTATCACTATTATCCATTGTCAGACTTTGGGAAGAGAGAAAATATCTAGACTTTGATCAAGCTGCATTTTGATTTCCTCCTAAATTTAACCTTCATGTGCATTTTTTGTCTTTTTAGATGCAAATTTTTAAGTAGGAAAAATGAGTAAATGTTATGCATTTTATTATAAGTACTGTTGTTGTTATTAAATGGCTAGGAAAACAGGTTTGGCAGAATTTGAAAGATGACCTTAAATATTTGCTTTGGGAATATATTGATCTTTTTCAGAAAGATGTACACGTGTAGTTCAATAAAATTACATTTCAGCCAGGCGGTGGTGGCACACGCCTTTAATCCCAGTATTTGGGAGACAGAGGCAAGTGGATCTCTGAGTTATAGGCCAGCCTGGTCTACAAGAGTTAGTTCCAGGACAGGCTCTAAAACTACAGTGAAACCCTGTAACAAACAAACAAACAAGAAATTACATTTCGTCATTACCTGATGAATCTTTTGAGAACAAATCTCTACTTTGGTAAGGGTCTTCAGTATAGATAACCTTAGGTTTTGCTAATAAGAATATAAATTTGTCTAATAATTTGGAGAGGGATTTGACAAGGAGTTTCAGAGACTAATAATGTGTTGGTTCTGCCCTTGGTTACTTGCCAGAACCTACTACCATCTCTCCGTGCTTTTCTCTAACTTTGGGACTGGCCATATTCCTGCCTACTCGACGGCAGTGACTTCTCTGACCTCCTGACATGGCCTGGAGACGCAAATGGGTTACACATGCCTCCCATTTTAAGCTCCCCCCTTTTCAAGCCACTTTATAATCCCAAAGCTGCCTGCCAAGGACCTAATGAGATGATCATATGTTTTTTTCTTTCAGTTTATTTATATGGTGAATTACATTGGTAGCTTTTTGTATGTTGAACTATCCACGAATCTCTGGGATGAAGCTGACATGATCATGGTGGATGATTTTTTTTTTTTTGGTGCGTTCTTGGATTTGGCTTGCTAGTATTTTATTGCGTATTTTTTGCATCAATATTCATGAGGGAGATTGGTCTGTAATTCTCTTCCTTTGTTGAGTTTTTGTGTGGTTTCTGTATCAGGGTAATTGCAGCCTCTTAAAAAGGGTTTAGCAATATTCCTTCTGTTTCTATTACGTGTAACACTTTGAGAAGTATAGGTATTAGGTCTCCTTTGAAGTTCTGGTAGAATTCTGCAAATTTAAAATTGTTTTCTTCTGCTTCTTCTGGGTTAGGATGATCAGGTCTTCCTATTGTAAGACCACTGGGTTCTGGTGTTACCTTGTTGCTTTTGAAGTTGGATGAATTGTTGCATTAATGCCTACCCATCTCCTCTAATTGGTGTCAGAAGTGTCTTTGCCTCTTAGTCCATTCTTTGTAGTTGCTGTCTGGTCTTTGTGAGCTAGTTTTCCTTGATCTGCTCTGTACTGTTACTGTCTGTGTCTCAGGAAGCTGCTGAGGTCTCTCTTGGTCCACTCTATTGGAGTGCTATTTTGGTCCACTTTGTGTAGTTACAGCCTGTGCTTCAGAGTTCCTTTGAGGTCTGGGAGGATAGGAGGGCTTGGGGGTGGAGTAGATCTTGTAGAATGCAGGGTCCAATCAATGGGGTAAAAATGTTGGAGCAGCCTACTTTCAGGGAGCTTGCCTGATGGCTGCTTAGAGAGGCTGTGGCGGGTGGAGGAGCGGTGCAGGGTTTTGCCCCAGTATCGAGGGCCCAGAGAGTGGGGCACTCCACTGGGTGGGTGATCACTCACCTCTTGGCAGTCTCAGCCTGTGCTTCAGAGGTCCTCTGAGGTCTCAGGGGATAGGAGGGTTTGGGGGCAGAGCAGAATTTGTTGCTTGTGGGGTCCAATTGGTGGGGTAGGGGAGTCTTCCTTCATCCTTTAATCAGAGAATTCGTTAAGCCCTTGAGCAGATCGTTTCCATTCACTGACATTCTGAGGCCTTCTTCTAGCCTGGCACTGTCACTCAAGGAGAGGCTGTCTTCCCCATCTCCTTGGAGCCACGTTGTCCACATGTGTTAAATTATATCAGACACCATGTATAAATAATATTATATATGCAGTATATGTTAATTGTCAACTTACTCATGCTGACATAGAACTTAAAACGTATTTTTATTCACATAGTCACAAAATATAAGTTTTATGGAGCTAATACTAGGAATGGCAGACACAGAGGTTTTAAACAAACATGTAAAAAAATGGTTTTATCTTTAAACTCAAACCAAATGTGTAAACCATGTATGAACCACGACTAATGGACCATCGTGGAAGTCATCTGTACCTCTGTGCCTTTTTATCAGGTTCATAAATAGGAGTAATTCTCATCTCTTCTCTGAGTGTATGTTGGCATTACCAAAAACGCAGAACATTGTCATGCAGCTGTTTATATTACTTCAGGGAATGTAACTGCTATTTTATGCTAGATTAGTAATTCTATAATTTTAAATACACAAAATAAAATTGTCTCTGTATTTATCAGGTTTCCGGTTCTTAGCAATATAGCACAGTTACTGGTTCGTAGAAAAGATATTGAAGGTCTGGGTTAAAATGGTGTTTTATCCATGAGCTAGAATATGATCAGACAGTGCAGGCTTTTCTGCAACACAGTGTTTCTTAAACTTTCTCATGTTGAATGCTTTAATACAGTTCCTCATGTTGTGGTGATCCCCAACCATAAAATTATTTGTGTTGCTATTTCATAACTGTAGTTTTGCTACTGATTTGAACTGTAATGTAAACAATTATGGAGATGGATTTGCCAAAGGGACTGTGATCCATCCACAGGATGAGAACCATGGCTGTAGTGTCTTATAGTAAAGATTACAATTGACTTGATTTTTAAAAACAGTTTTCAACTTTGTCTATGATGGAGTACACTTAGATCAATATATCTTTGTTTATTCTGAAAATATGACCCTTGGGATAGTTCATCTATCTAAACTTTCCAGACTAAAAATAAATTAGTGAAGATTGTCAAAGCATTTAATGTAATTATTTTTTCAGAAAGCTGATTTAGTTAGTCAAGTAACTAAACAAGTCTCCATCAACCTACTGATTACCCCAATATAGACTTGAGATTATTTTTATAACAATACCGCTATGACCGATGCTGACACACCCATCTTACAAGTGGATAAGTTAAAACTAAGCAGTGAAGTAATGTGCCAATAGTTCCTTCATCTGGATGGACCTGGAAGCGCACATTCATGGGGGAGGGCAATGGCGAGGACAAATGGCACCAATACATAGCAAACAAAACATCCATTTGTTTGAGCTGCCTTATTCCTTGATACTACGTGATACTAGGTGCATCTTCACTCTTTGGCACCCTAATATGGAAAGTCGATTCCCACATCACAAATCCCACTATTGATATTAAAATATCAAGCTCTGTTCTTACTTGAAATACAGGTAGACGGTGGATTTGCCTTCCACCCCAAATTTCTTTGTAAACAACAAATAACTACTCACAGAATTTTCCTGATCTGAAGCATGTAGAGAATAGTTAAAATTTTAAAACTTCTAGACTCACAAAGTCAAACAAGGTTGACATTCTGCTGCCTTCTTCTAGATCTGCCGCTATAATACAAGGAATGCTGTCTTCCCCATCTCCTTAGAGCCATATTTTCCACATTTCCCACCTGATGATTTGCTGTTTAAAATGGTCCCTGAGTACTTTTGGGAGGTGTTGCTGATGTTCCCAAGCTTAAGAAGATTGGAAAATGCCAAAAAATACATAATGAATTACAATGCTGTTGCTCATGAATTCAGTTACAAAGAAATAACAATGACATTAAGTAAGGTGTCTTTCAGTAGAAAAACACACCAAATAGAATGATGTCATTAGCACCTTATGAGAATGGGGTGGTTAGAGACTTGAAGAAACACACCCTTGTGTTTCCTTTGGGAGTCATGCTGTAGTATCTGGTAGCTTAGCATTTGCACATACTTTATGGAATATAACTATTATTGCAGTGTCTTTTATAATAGTATCTTGCAGAGTGTATTTCTTATCCTTGAATTAAAATTTCATTATGTAGTAGTTTTCCTGGCTCTATCAAACCTTACATTCATTCTTCTATAAGCCACTATATTTGCCTTCTGTTGCTTCTATGAAAGATCACCACAAACTTAGTTGCATACGTTATGCCATTGTATTGACTTACAGTGTGGTGGCCAAAAGTCCGAAATGAGATTTACTGGGCTAGCAAAGCTGTTACCAGAGTTGCTTTCCCTTCTGAATTGATTCCTTGCCTTTTCCAGCTTTGTGGTAATGTCTCACATCTCTGCAATTCCTACTTCCATCAACACATATTCTCCAACTCTCCTGCCGCTACACTGTAAGTGCGGATGCAGATTCTAGTACTATAAATTATTTGTCTCTCCTGTCAAAATCCTGTAAGCATAGCACCACTCTCAAACAGAGGATGCTTGCCAAGCTGCAGGAATTGCTGAATAAATTCAACCTTGATACAGCACAATGCTCTTCTCTGTGTGATGATGTTTCTGTTGTCTTACTTTTCTGTTCCCATCTATAGTCCCAAGATCCAAGACAAACCATATGTATGCCCAGGGAAGAATTCATACAGAAGATGCCAGAGACTTTGGGCTGGGGCACCAAGCAAGAATTTGGAGAACTCTTTGACAAAGTGGATGTGGCCCGGGATGGCTTCATTGACTGGGACAGGCTGACTTCATTTATACTGCTATCACTTTATGAGAGAGATGAACGAGCAAAGGCAACAGTGGTTCCTCAATGGAAGGACCTTGTATTTCTCCCAGGAAAACACAAGGACACCATCCAGAAAGTTGTTTTCTTAAAAACGTCAAGTCGTTATTTGACTATCAGCAAGGAAGGCTTACTAGGAGTCTGGGGAGAGAACTTAAAATTGCAAGAAGCACTTCCTATCACTTCAGATGCTAGCAAACTCAAACATCTCTGGGTGACAAGTTTGGTTTCTCTGGAAAATGTTAACAAGGTACAAAACCTTTATAAATACATTTGCTACTTATGATAAAGATGAGAAAATTTTGGGGGAAAGCCTCTGGTCAATACCAAGTGCAATACCAGCAGCGACAGAGAGCCACATTCATCTTTGGTGACTCTCATCAAACCTGGAGGTGATGTGAGCAGAAGTATTTGCTTTCCAAAGCCCCTATCTTGGGTGTCTTAAAATGACATCACAGATAAAGAATGACTCATATATTTTTCTCTTTTTCCTTTTGAATGTGGTTAATTGTCATCATTCTTAGGGATGGAGGATGCTGGTGGATGTATGGTTGAAATAAGCAAAAAGGGTGCCTGGGTGCCTTTCATGATTAAAGTATTTTGTTTTGGCTTGATTTTTGGTTAACGTCCAATGTTAGAATTGAATACCTTTGGGCTATGTATACTTCCATAACATTATAACGACACGCAGAGAACTATATCTTACTTAGAAATTAGATTTGCATGCCTGTTTTGTATATTAATCCACCATAAATATCCTTTGATTTTTTTTAACTTGGGCACTATAGATAGCAGTGGCCTTTACAAGCAAAGAGATTTGTTTCTATGATCTACTGTCTAAAGAAGAATTTCCTTGTCAATACAAACTCCAAGGCCTGGAAGGAACGCCCATCTGCATGGATTATTGGTATGATCCTCTTGATCCTAAGGAATCCATCCTTTCTTTTGGGGATATAACTGGAAAGGTAAGTGAGGGAAAGAAAGATAAGAAGACACAATAAGAATTTTTTAATCCTCAAATTGTAGTGAAAAGTAGAAATTAAAACACCTTGAGTATGACTTTCTACGTTAAAAATTATGAGACATGTGAGAGATGAGGTGATACTACAATTTCACCTTTTAGTGATAAAATACAGACCCTTATATGATCTTCTGTTTTGTTTGTAGCCATATTTTTTCTAGTTTAAAACACTTAGGAGAATTGATGTTATAAAATAATTAATCCATTGGTTCTCAATATAAATGAATATTGACTATTACATTTCTGAACTAGCTTCCTATGGACATTATAAGGTAACTGTTTTGATATGGAGGATGTTCATTATCATACAGCCAAGAGTGTGTTAATTTTTAGTGTCACATAGCAGAGGAATAGAGGCATGAGCCTGTGACAATGGATACAGTCGTTCCTTCTCCTATCAAAGTGCAGTTTAGATGAGAGACATCACTACTTCCTCAATGACACTGGAGTGAGTCAGATACTGAAGAGGTTTGAACGATCAATTCTCTTTCATGATTGTGAAAGTTTCCATTCTTATAGTTTTCAATGTCAAGTCCTTTTTGAAATGAAAAGCAGTGCTTAGAAAGCCACTTTACTAAGTGTGTAATGGTTCTCCTGTCACAGCTTATGGGCTTTAAGTAATATTGGAGAATTGTTCTAGCTCATGATCCTACTCTGCGTTAATCTTAAAGTACATAGAACCATCGAATAGCTCTTACGCCGCTTATGTTTGTTTCTCTTTCAATGATTCAAGGTTCAAGGGATTGCTTTCACGGCAGCCACCATTTCCCTTTTTGAACGGCCTGCTAATGCACGTGACGATGAAGAAGCCACAATGACGATCGACTGGCCAGAGCTGCTTTCTGGATGTCACAAGTGTTGTTGCGTATTACAGCACACACTTCATCATGGAGACTGGGTCAGGCAAGGTACTGAGTTTGAACAATAACAGGAGGAAAAAGTCATTTTCAACGTCGACATTTAGATTCTTTGATGAAAATGTTTCACACAGAATGTTTAAATCTAGACACCAATAATTGGTTCTCTGGAGGTTTTGGACTAGGCTTACTTTATCCCTTGAACGCTAGCAGGAATTACTTCTTTTCTTTCCTTCTAAAATGTACGCTTCATTCAATTAATTCAGGTGAACTGTGCTCTCAGAGATCTCGAAAGACAGAAGAAAATTGTCATAGAATTTCTCCAGCTTCAACTCCACTCTCTCTGATCCTACCCTGTGTCAGTCATTCACACACTGCCCAGTAAAGAATTTAATGAATTCCCCATAAGTCCTTCTCTTTTCTTTCCCTTTTTTCTTTGTATTCTTATGAGAAACATAGTTTGGCTATCTTCACAATGTAACTTTTAAAAGTTTTTTACCTTTTTCTTTTTCTTTCTTTTTAACCTTTTGTTTAATTTTACTGACAATTTTTAAATATATTTTAGTCTTTACTTTTACTATTTTAGTTATGTATACATACATGTTTAAAATTTAAAATGTATTTTGTAAGAAAAGTCACTGTGCTTGCTCGTGACTTGACACACAAGCTAGAGCTTCCCGAAAGGAAGGAACCTGGAGAAAATGCCGCCCTACAATCCAGCTGTAAGGCATTTTCTTAATTAGTGACTGATGGGAGGAGGCCAGGTCATTGTGGGCAGTGCCGTCTCTGGGTCTGAGTGCTATAAGAGTCAGCTGGAGTAAGGCAGTAAGCAGCACCCCTCACTGGCCTCTGCATAAGCTCCTGCCTCTAGGTTCTTGCCCTATTTGAGTTCCTGTCCTGACTTCCTTTGATGCTAAACAACAATATGGAAGTCTAAACCAAATAAACCCTTTCCTTCTCAACTTGCTTTTTAAGCATGGCATTTTGTTACAGCAATGGAAACTCTAACTAAGACAGTCACTTCTGACTCATTATTCTTTCCTTTTCTTCCTTCTTTTTCCTTTCTTTCTTTAGTTTCCTTGTAGAGCTCAGGCGTGTGATTCTTGTTCTTCTGCCTTCAAATTATAGATAAATCTGTCTCTTTGTCTCTCTCTATTTCCCTCTCCATCCCTCCCTTTCTCCTTCCCCCCCATCCCTTCCATTTTCCTCTCTCCTATCTCCCTCTTGATATAATGTCTGAGTGCTTCTTGTCTGAAGTACATGAGTAGTAGTTCTTTGTGATAAGATAATTTTATAAATAAGTATTTATAGAACACTAGTACTTTCTTAAAACTTAATCATTAATGATTTATTGATTAATGATTGATTGATATAAAAGACCACGGTGATTTTTCTCATGCCAAAATTGCTACATTAATGAAAATCCACTCAAAAGGATAGATATTAGCAATCTCATTGATTGGAATAATATTTAATGAAATTAATATTATCAGTCAACTTTAAATATAATTTAAAGAAGAGATAATCAAAGGTATCAATTGTTGTCTTTTCCAGCAGCTATGATCTTTGTATCTCATCTTGTTGTAACTGATCTTCTACCATGGGGCCCCAAATCAAGTTCTATACAAGTGACAACATATTATGACTTTTTCTTTAGTATAAATTATACAGTTGGTACATTTTCTCTATCCTTTGATTCTGGCAGGATATATGTTGGGGAAAACAAAATTGCACATTTTCTGATCATCTCCTATGGTGACAGGCAGAAAATTATGTGTCAAATTTTTGTGGCACCAAAATAAGATCAATGTCCTGGAGATGGACTCAAGGACACTACCAGAGCTGATTGTGAATGAAACGTCATATGTCTATACGTAAATGAAAGAACAGATTATAAAAACAAAGCAGGAAGTTCTGAAATCTAGTGTAGTGGGTCTTCGAAGTTTAGTGTATTATTTGGGTTCCATTATTTTACAGTGATATGGATAAGTAAGATGTAACCTGTAGCATGAAGTTTAGCCTATTATTTGGGTTCTATTATTTTATAGTAACATGGACAAATAAGAAGTAGTCTGTAGTATGATCCTTTTGAAGAGGCTGAAGTTATAACAAGTAAGAGTTTCTACAGATGAGTGGTGTTCAAACATCTTTTTTGTACTCAAGAATATATCCATCCATAGCTACTCAGTACTAAGGCAAGGAAATCATGACTGACTGAACTGTGGAGTGAACTTAATGCTAGACTGGGAACATTATAAGACTCTATCTCAGAATTAAACAGAAAGGAAGGCTGGGTGTATAGCTCAGTGGTAAGGTAGTTATCTAGCTTGGATGAGGTCTTAGCTCATGTGGATATGTACACACACACACTCACACACACAGGGAAGGAGAGAGGAAGACAGAGAGAGAAACACAACAGCTCATACTTAAAGAAAGACAATTTATCTCACATAACCAAGCACACAGGCAAGTCCACATGTATACACACATAAGTAATTTGAAATTATTCCCTTATTCACTTTCTAGGTTTAAGGCTCAACTGCCTTTAAACATGTGACTACTTAACTCTTAATCAATGAAAAAGGATCTTCTGAGACACAATAGCAGACACCAGCTTAGATATGACTGTTGTCTGATGTTTGGTTGTTTTAGTATGAGAAGAAGGAAGGAAGAGAAAATTGAAGAGGAAGAAAGGAGAAATGGAAGATAGAACATACTGTATCTCACTGGGGTTTGCAGCAATTATGGACATGGCTCCTTGATTTCTAAGACCTGCTCTGCCAAGGGCACCAAGAGATGGTTGCTTGGATTTGATACCCATTGCCCTGCAGCAATATGGATTAATAGTCTTATAATTTCTCAAGCATATATTTGGGCATTTTCTTCTTAGTATAAGAGAATAAACAAGTGAAAAAAGGAACACAACCATGGAAATACATTTTTAGCAAAATTAAGGGTAAAATATTTGTTATGTGGAAGTGTCAGAGAAGAAATTTAGTTTTAGTTATATGTATGCTAACATATGCTTTAAATGGGAATTAAGATTCAGTCTACTTAAAATTTTGAGAAAGAAAATATTTTTATCTGGTCTGAGTGGTTCTATGTCAAAGTTTAATAGAAAAATAATTGCATTCTGGAATGGTTGCAAATGAATGTAGCTATTTAGGGCAGTACTGTAGAGACTGTCTTGAATCTCAGAGAATTTCCTTTTTAGGAATGGGTCTTCTATAGGGCATGTTTCAGAAGTTATTGTCAGAGAGTGTAGCTATTAAAGAAACATGAACCAGGTGTGGTGGTGCATGTCTTTAATTCTAGAATTCAATTTCTATGGGAAGATTGTAAGTCTGAGGTTAGCCTGGCTTGCACAGACAGTTCAAGTTTATCCTGAGCCATGGAGAATGATCTTGTTTCTAACAACTGAAGAAACAAACACAAGTGGTGGGACTGTCACTCACTGGTAGTTGGAAAAATATTGCTAAACCAAAAACCATGAGTTTTTAATCACATCAAAATATATTCTTTCACTTTGATCGCACACAGAAGGTGATAACATCAACTAACAATTATAACAAAATCATAATTGTTGCAACAATTAATAGAATTGTTGCCAGAGAATTTAAACACAGACACCTGGTTGTGTTTCCTTAGGGAGTCTTTATAATTGGCAGGGATTGTGCTAGCAAGGGAAGTTGAATCTGGAGACATGTACCTGTGTTGCTCTGTTTCCCAGAATTGAAATGATCCCTTCCAGGTAAAGGAGACTGCATCACTGAGTAGCTAGACCATGTTGTCCTTATTGCCAGCAGTCACGCTGTGTTTAACACAGTAGAAATTAGCTGGGAGCTGATGACCTGAGACTGATGAAACAATTTTCTTCCTTCAGCCTGCTTGTACTATACACACACTTCTGCCTGACATTCTGGAAATTCCGGAAATTCCAGAAATTAATTACACTTCTATTATAAAAGATACATAGCAGTATAGATTTTGGTTTTAAAAACACATTTTGACTTTAAATGACCAAACAGACATTTGTTTTTTATATTTCCTATTTTTTCTCTTTATTTATTTTGCTTTTCATTTTACACACCAACCCCAGTTCTCCCTCCCTTCCTTTTTCCTGCCCCTCCAACTTCCTCTTTCTTGTCCCATCCTCTTCTCAGAGGAGGTAGGGCCTCCCTTGGGGAGTCAACAAAGACTGGTTTACCAAGTTGAGGCAAGACCAAGCCCCTCCTGCTTGTATCAAGGCTGAGCAAGATATCTCACCATAGGGAATGGGCTCCATGAACCCAGTTCAGGGACCCTCCCTAACATTGCTAGTAGTCTCAGCTGCTGTCATCCTTGTGGATTCCTGGTAATTTCCCTAGTGTTAGAGGAGGCTGCTTGTTTGTTTCCTGGCTGCCCAGACTCTGAAATAATCACTCAGAAACTCTATTATTTGTAATACTGTTTGTCCAAATAGCTTAAACGCATTCCTGGCTTATTCTTATATCTTAAACTAACCCAGATCCGTTAATCTATGCATCACCACGAGGTTGTGGCTTACCAGCAAAGTTTTGATGGGCTGGAATGCAGGCATTTGTCCCCAGTGGTGGCTACATGGCATCTCACTGATGCTGCCTTCTCTCTCTAGATACATCTCTTCCAGCCTAGTTATGGTCTGTTAAGCCATTGACTGAGAGCAGCTTCTTTACTCATTAACCAATAAAAGCAACACATAAACAGAAGGATGTCCTACACCACCCTAGCACCAGGTTTCTCCCTAACCCCATCATGGCTCCCTCTATCAAGATATCTTTTACCGCTCTCCCCCTCTGTCTCTCCTCAAGTTGGACTTTTTGATTCCTCAAGTTCCCATTTTCTGTGCCCTCCCCTATATCCCTTCTCCCAGTTTACCCAGGAGATGTTAACTATTTCCCCTTTCTGGGGCCCACATGTGCCCCTCTTAGACAAACAAGTGTGTATAATGATAAAAACGCTGAAGTTTGTCTTTTATTCTTAAAATGTTATGTAAACTTATGTTAAAACTCTTTCTTCTTCTTTCTTTTTTTTATTTTTTATTGTTTTTATTGAGCTATATATTTTTCTCTGCTCCTCTCCCATTCTCTCCCCTCCCCTTCAAAGCTCTCCCATGGTTCCCATGCTCCCAATTTACTCAGGAGATCTTGTCTTTTTCTACTTCCCATGTAGATTAGATCCATGTATGCCTCTCTTAGGGTCTTTTTTTCCTAAGTTCTCTGGGATTGTGAATTGTAGGCTGGTTTGTCTTTGCTTTATGTCTAAAAGCCACTTATGAATGAGTATTATATTTATCTTTCTAGGTTTGTGTTACTTCACTCAATATGATGTTTTCCAGATTCATCCGTTTGCCTGCAAATTTCATGATGTCATTATTTTTTTTCTGCTATGTAGTACTTCATTGTGTATTGCTGGGTCTTGAGGAAGGTTGTTTCCTAATTTTCTGAGAAATCTCCGAGTGTGAAACACATCTATCCAGCTCATCTTATTCCATACCTAATGCTCTAGCGAGATTTTTTTTTTAAATTTTGTTTTTAGCACAGTGTGTAATTTCCTTACTCCAATTAAAGAAGTGAGAAAAACATTTTTACATTTCAGGTATCCTGGTTTTAAAGCAATGGCTCTATGGTTCTTCTTTTATCTTTTACTCAGATGTTTCCCAGGAGCTCTGCCGTTCTAAAATTTAATGAGAAACAAGCTATATCTTGATTTAGATATAAGGTGTGAATTATTGAAGCTCCAGTATGTAACCTTCCAGACCCATAAATGTCATCCAGTAAGCCACAGACTTGAATCTTAGAACAATAATTGAAACGAGGGCAACATTAAGCTCTGCGTCTTAGAGATCCCCAAACCAAAGATGATAACTGGATACACTTGGAAACACGTGGCAATGTCATTTTCAGGATAGGAATATTTTTCTCTAGTTCTATTATAATCACATTATGAAATTTCTGTGGATTTAATAAGGTTATGGTGCAATGATTTATATTTTGGACCTTACAATATTGATTTTTGAGTGACATGCTACAGTAATCTTAAACATTTTCTATAAGCAAAAGGAATGTATTGAATGAGTCTCTGGATGGTACTTCGGTTATGGTGCAATGATTTATATTTTGAACCTTACAATATTGATTTTGAGTGACATGCTATAGTAAGCTTAAACATTTTCCATAAACAAAAGGAATGTATTGAGTGAGTCTCTGGTTGGTACTTCACTCTTGCAGAATTTTTTTTTCCTGATATATCTAGAAAAGCGACCATCAGGCAGCAGGTGGAACGCCGCTGAAGTGAACTGTTCTCTAACATCTAACAAAACTCAACGCACTTATCTTTCCACAAACTGCTTGTTTCTTTAGGCTTCCCTGCTTTCCACCTCTCTCCATCAGTCTCTCTTTTTTTCTTTCTCAAGAAAGAAATACAGTGGATGAGAGAGAAGAATGGATTGTTCAGGAAGACAAGGGATTATGGTTCTCCTATAAACTTAGTAGCAACATGAAGGACTCAAGGGAAGGGAAGACTGACGTTCTAGCGGGAATTTGTTTTGGGAGTGAGGCCCCACGGGACAGAAATGTAGCTGGCATTAGAAATACTCCCAGATGTGGTCTTGGCATGTGGGTGGCAGTGTGCCTGAGTCTCTAGGATGAATATAATCAAAGAGCAAAGGAGAGCTCACAGTCAGTTCGGTCCCATCTCCATCTGTAATTAGCCACATGACCCAGGGCAAGTTGAGTTTTGCAATTATTAGCAAACTTCAAATAACTTACACATGAAGATTATGATAGATCAAGAGCCCCACGCATGCTGCCTGGTGTATGAGAAAGGTTCATCAAGTCATCTTCATCATTATAAAAAATAGTCCAAAATGCAAGGGAAATTAGTAATGGAGGATGAGCTAGAAACAGACTGGAAACATGGACCATCTTTTTCTGTAGTTTTCCTTCTGTTTTCATACTGAGTTATTCTGTGTACCAGAGGATGCTTCCCTTTCTGAAATCTCTTTTGAATCTCGGCTGCCCGTTTTTCTGGAAGAAATTGTGTTCAGTTCGAAATATAATTAGATGTATTTGTACTAAAGAATTAAAAAATAAAATGCAGAATCTATTTTGTGCTTTGGTAGATAAAATTAATTAGTAAAAGAAACACTATGGATCATGCAGGGAATGTCAGGCATGATGACACACATGTATAATCTTTCTCTTCGAGTCTTACATGTGAGGGTGGTGAGTGTGAGTTCAGACTGGATCTTATAGTGAGTCCAGGACAACTTGGTGTCGCACGAATACTAAAAACCCAGAAACAGATATTGGGATTCAGGCTGAAAGATCAGAGTAGCAAAGCAGTCAAGCACTAGAGAGCTCTTAGCTCTATGAAATATTCAAACTGAAAGGAGAACAAGTTCCTGTGACATCCCGCCTTATATTCCTCTCTTGTGCTGGTACTAAAGGCATGCACCACCTCGACCAGGCCTCTGTGGCTAACAAGTGTAGTAGCAGCTGGGATTAAAGGTGTGTGCTACTACTGCCTGGCCTGTACAGGTGACTAGTGTGGCTAGCTCTGCATTCTGATCTTCAGGCAAGCTTTATTTATTCAAATAAAATAATATACCACTATAACCTGGGGTGCATATCAAAACCCTTTTCCAATAATCAAAAATGAAGAGCCACATTAAGAAAGCAAGTAGAGAGCTTTCTTTTAATCCAACATTACCTTGGGCTCAGAGATTTATTACCTGAGTTTCTCAGCTTTATCATGTATGGATCATGGTAGGAAGCTTATTAAAACTCTGGCTTTTTATACACAAATTTGTGTTATGTGCACAAGTTTCAAATGGAATCTATAGTTCTCATGAGAATAAATATTTAGTCTCTGAAATTTAAGAACTGCTGATTAGTACTTCAGGGTATGAAATAATGTCTTTACAGAATTATTTCCAGCATCTTGTTCCTTTATGTGTGGTCCTTAGACAGTATAAACAGCATCATCAGGCACTGTGTGAGTGATGACCAATCATAGGCTTGCACAGTGAGAATCTGTAATCTGCCAGTCACTCATCTGCATGATACAGTATGAGAAGTCCCCATTGTCAAGGAGTCTGGTTCTGCAGACTCAAGTTGTATTCTGGCTCTGCCAGAGTCTAGCTTTAAACTTGGATCTGTAATACTCCATGCTATGCACCATTCCTCTGATCAGAGGGTTAAAGCCAGAACTCCAGACCCAAATTTGGAATAGTCATCATCTATTTTTAGCCTTATAATTACACTTGTTTTGTAGAAGGTGGCATGTCCAAGGTGACCAAAGAGCACTTACTCACCTTTGTCTGTGATTCTGACAAAAATGAAAGCCCATCATGACACATGGGGATTGGGCCTTTATTGCACAGGAAATAGGATTATTATGCTTCACAACATCACTGTTGGTAGACATGGTGTCTGGAGGACACGGGGCCAGTCACCTTTACCTGAATCTTAGCTTCACTTGGGCTACCAGTTCTGAGTCCTGGCCTATCTACTCTTAAACATTCTAGATTGGTCAAAATTTAAATGAATAGTCATTTTCTCATGAACTATAGCAAGCAGATGCTTGCTGGTTCTTGTTTGCCTGTTTCAGGTCTGGGAAGAGGAGTACACAAATTAGATCACCTGTTCATTTTCTGTATACAGAATGCTTTACGACTTTTGTGATGAGCGCTGTTTTTGTTTGTGTTCCATAAAAAGAAGCAAATGAACAAACAAATAAACAAACAAAACCTTAATGCATGTCTAGAGTACAGGAAACTCAGATTGGAGAATGTGCTACGGTTTCTTGCTGTAAATTCTTTGGTTGGAGGGAATGGGTGAATGAGCTGTTCTGCGTGTGGAGATGGGTCATCACACATGATATTTTTACCATCACATATTTAAATATTTGTATATACCTATTATAAAAAACTAATTTAAGATTATCTTCTTATTTGTTTTTCAGTTACTTACAATGCCTCTTTAGATACATTCATTTCCAGCACAACCAGCAGTACAAACACTGTGGTGCTGGCGTGGAGAGAGAAGGCAAAAAGGCTCCTTAAAATGACACCTTTCAACATCGCCCAGGGCGTTCACGCTTTTGATTACCACTCTCAGCTCAATCTAATTGGTATGTAAAATGAATCATGGTAACTATGAGGGCCTCATAAATTGTCTAGGATGCATATTTGTATGCAGGGAAGTACTGCATCTTGTTGCTTTATTGCCAGGGAGACCAACTTGAGCAGCTCACATTTTATTGCCTGAGAATGTTTGATAATGATGCATATGATGTGCAGTGCGTTTGAATTACACTGGGGTGAAATATGAGAAAGCACCCCGATGCTTTAATGAGTCTTTTATTAGAATTGGTAGGGGTGGAGATGACATAGGGAAAGAAGACAGTTTGTACAGCATCTGTTATTCTGCCATCTTCCTAACTCTGTCAAATGCTGCTCGCAAACAAGTGCATCACTTTTGTTACTCACACACATGTGAGCATGCACACATCCACACACACAGCAATACACACTTGCACACACCAGTATAACTGTAAATCTTAAATACTTTTTAGAGTGCATTTTCTAGTAATTTTTTTGAGAATTTATAGGCTATCATAGCTTTAGTTTATTAAGGAAGTATTTTCTGATATAAAAGTATCAGAAATATAAGCTTTTTCAGGTATTAATCTTTTAAATTAAATACCTAGATATTCTAAAAGTTGATAATTTAATCTATGAATATGTAAGTGCAAATGTTATAAAACTGACATGCAGATCTGGTATTGAAAAATTAGTAGAGTAGTTATAGAGAGCATAACTATATCCTATGGTATGGGTCATACAGTTCCACATTCAGTAGTTAGCATTCACAGGAAAAATGCTGGTGTTCATTAAGCAAACAGACATTTAAAATAATGAATAATACACAGCTGAGATTAACACAGACCTGGTGAGATGGGATGATTTCCAAGAATACTCTAAAGTGTATCAGAGAAACCTGGGGGGATTGGTGAATTAATTTGGCAGGGACTCAAACATCACCCCTTTAACTCACTGGCTGACTAGTTATTTAACTCTTATATACTGATCTGTTTGGTATTTGCTGGAAAACATGATAAGGGCAGGTATATAATCAGTTTAAGACCAAGACAGAACTAGAGAGTTAAATTACATCTTACATACTCACATAGTACCTAGCTTGGTCTTGAGAAGGTCCCTGGTTATAAAGGAGCCATGATAAAAGTACTTGATTCCACAGTAAGCCAGGATGGACATGTTGGTGATTTTTGGTGCTTTGTGCATACTTTATTATTTAAACAGTGGTAAAATAATATGCTCTTAATATTTCTATTTATTGACTTGTGACTTGTGAATAATTAGGTTTTTTTCCCCCCCCCCCCCCCCCGCCAAATACCTATCATCCTGTCTAAATTTCTTTTGGCCCAAAACCAGGGAATTTTGGGGCTAGGAGGAGAAAATGTATTCCCGACCAGGTAGGCCTTGGGTAGGTTTCTAAAGGAGACAAGTTTTTCCCCTTCTAGTATGAAAACTCCTCAAATCAATAGTTCTCAAACTGTGGGTCATGATATCCTGCATATTAGCTATGTACATTATGATTCAAATAGCAGCAAAATTCAAGCTATGAAGTAGCAATGAAATAGTTTTATGGTCATGGGTTACTACAACATGAGGAATTTTGCTAAAGGCCTGCAGCAATAGGAAAGCTGAGAACCACTGCTTAAGGTCACTCCACACCCATCATTCAACTGCATCCACAATTTAGTTGGGCAATGACAAAGTTTTCCTTTCTTCAAGACAGGGTGCATTAATGTTCATGTGTGAAAAACTAATTTCACAAGGATAATTTTAAAAACATCTTATTTCCTTTTGAATTCTGATCAGCGACGGCTGGCATTAACAATAAAGTTTGCCTCTGGAATCCCTATGTTGTCTCTAAACCAGTCGGTGTTCTATGGGGTCATTCGGCCAGTGTCATAGCCGTCCAGTTCTTTGCTGAAAGAAAACAACTTTTCAGCTTCTCCAGAGATAAAGTAAGTCACTTGACACCTCTAATTTTCTGCCCTCCCAGTTCCTAATATTCACTGGCCCCTGAATTTCTCTGAGAGGTGTCAGTTGTTCATAAAAACTGGCTAACTATGAAGTCTTGAGAAAAGCTTCGTTTGGAACAAGTATTGATTGGTGGTTCATAAGAGTTCTGGGCAAGTGGACAAAAAATCATTTCATTAAATTTTTGTTCAAATGATGTATTCACAGGTTTAATTCCTTTAATTTGACACTCCATATGTCACATCTTAATAGCATCCAAAGTTCTCATTAATTCCACATGGAAAAGAATGGAGGTGGGGACAAGAAAACGCTGTTTGGGTAAAAGAGTGAAAAGGCACAGTTGGCTATTATCACATTAATATGAAAGATTCATTAAATTATAAATTTAAGCTAATGGAAAATATCAAGTATACAATAAATTTTAATTAAATGTCTGGTTGATGACCTTGATTGCACTGTTTTGTCTTATTTGGAGATTTTAGGGATCTGATTGAGAGCCTCACACATGAGAAACACACACTCTACCACTGAGTTATGTTCTCAGCCCTTGACGGGGCATTTTCAATATTGTGGAATACGAACCAGGAATCATGCAGTCTAAACTGAATTCTGAGCACACTATAGTATCTAATTAAGTAAATTTCTTAATCTCCAAACACTTTGCGTTTTATGTGTTATATAATTTCCATTTTTACATAATTCCATACATTAAAGATTCAGCCAAAATTATGATAGATTTTTGGCAAAATGGATAGCTCAGTGGTGAAGAGCACTTGCAGCTCTTGCAGAGGACAAAGGTTATTCCTTGCATCCTCATGGTTGGGTTCACAACCACCCATAATTCTAGTTTCAGAAGACTAATGCCCTCTTCTGACCTCAGCAGATACCAGGCATGCATGTGGTACATTTGTATATGTACAGCCACACACACACACACACACACACACACACACACACAAAATTATAGATTTCAAGGTCCTTGGCTATGAAGAAAAAAGTGGATAATAAGTGGAAATAGTCTCTGATATTCAGAGAACTTTTTTCCTGTATTTGGGGAATCTATCTGTGCAATAGGCAAAACTATGAAACTTAGAAAATCATCTTCAACTCCTTAGCCTTGTCCCAGTCTTCCTAGTTATTGTAACTTACTTTTCTTTTTAGCTATGGTATAAATTCCCCTTTCCCTTAAACCTTACCAATAGGCTGCCAGTTCTTGCTTATTCTATCATCAGAATCTGTTCATCATCTTGCTCCTTTTTCTCAGCTGCCACTTTTCTAACTTTAAAAATGAATCTTGGCTTTGCTGGGAGTGGTAGGGCATACTTTAAAACCCAGCACTTGGGTGGCAGAAGCAGGTGGACCTCTGCTCATTCAAGGTCACTCTTGTCTACAGAGGAAATTTTAGGCAATCCAGGGACATATCATAGTGAGACTCTGTGTAAAAACAAAAGAAAACAACAACAGAAGAAAGAAACCCTCATCTCTTTAACTCTAAAATACTGCAAACATTGCTATGTCTTCTTAATGCAGAAGTTTCCTTCCATTCTGCTAATAAAGTAGTTTGCAAGAAACATAAGAATGAATGAGAAGCCGTCAGCCTCTCAGTTCTACACTCCATTTAGCTGCCATTTCTGAAATTCTTAACCTTTCACACAAAGCCCTTCTCCAATTGGTCAGTCTACTTCACTTCTTTCTATTCACGTTTAATAATTTGCACGTGAGCTGTATTAACCCTTGGCCCTTACCACAATACAGTTAACTGGCACTGCAATTCCACGTCCTCCTGGAGTTTCCTGTCCTCTGTTATAACCGACAGAGAGGTGTTTGTCAGCCTTCAGATCTTTGGAGTGGCTCATGTAGATGTGGGTGTTTCCTTCTGTGTGCTCCAAATGTTCTTCATTAGAATATTTTTCATCATTAATTTTCTTCCTTAAGATATTGGGTTTTTTTTTTTTTTTTACCCGTTCTCAGTATCTTTCACAACACCTCACATACTGTAGGTTTTATTCTTTGACTCCATGGAAGAACTATTTCTTTGGATAGAAAGTAGTAAAGAAACTCAGAATTTGATCTCTTAGGCTGCTCTCCTGCATTCAGTTGTCTTATTTTCTGAGGTCCTTTGTTCTGACTTCAATTATTGAACACTGTGTTTCTATATTTTATCTTTAAATTTTGACTGGAAGGTATTGGTTACTTGTTAAATTCATTCTTATCACTCCCAGGATCTAGCACATATTAATATTGTAAACACATGGTAGAAGACAAAATATAAATAGTGTAACTCTTAATTCAGCATTAATATTTTTGAAGTGAGAGACTGTATCTTCTTTGGATTGTTCCATACATGTGCAAAGTCCTCAATAAACTATAGTTAAGTGAATAAATCTGAATCGGACAAAAAGAAACAAACATCAGAATTTCATCATTATGGAACTCCGTGAAAGCTTTCATAACCTTAAAGACAAGTGCAAACACATGTATTTTGAATCAGGATTGATCGCATACAGCTGTGATCAATATTAAGACTACCTGGCCTATTTCCAAAGCAGTTTTGTCCATCAGTTTTCACTTTGGTCTCTAAACTGTTGCGTCATTATGAAAACTTGTCATGCAGTCACCCAGGCTGGTTGGAATACATTTCACTTTCATGAATCTACGACAATCCTTATGTCTACAGCAAACAGCAGGGCTTTCTGCTACTGGGATAAGTCTCTGTTTTGTTACTGCAAAATTCTTTTGCATATTTTATAGGACTGTAGTGAAACTAGAACTCCAGGGAAGATGAAACATCATCTTGTTTCCTAAAGGGCCTTTGATTGGATAGTTGCCAATCAGTTGCCAAATGAGAGGATCAAAGAGAATCAGATCTAAACAACTTCCTCACAATATGAGCTGCAACGTTAGTTCTTTCAGAGAAGTTGTTCTATTGTCACCTTTCAAGGGGGCAGAAAACAACTTTATTCCTTTAAAATCTTGTTTCCCCCATCTATGGTGATTGAAAATTTTTCTGGCTCTAGCAGTTTGGACTGGCACCTCTGGCCTCCTAGAGTCTACAGCATTTTAGTTCAGGCCCATCTTGCTTTTAGAGTCTCCATTGATAAGTTGGCTGTAATTGTAATAGATCTGTCTTTATATGTTTTTTTTTTTGGCATTTTTCTCTTACACTTTTTATTATTCTTTCATTGATCACTGTATGTTTAGTGTTTTGATTATTATATAATGAGGGGTATTTCCTTTCTGATATAGTCTTTTAGATGTTTTATAAGCTTCTTGTACTTTGACAGGGATCTCTTTTATGTAAAGTTTCTTATATTATTTTGTTGAAAATATTTTCTTGGCCTCTGAGATAGTATCATTTTCCTTCTTCTGTTCCCATTATTCTTAGGTTTGATCTTTTCACAGTGCCCAGATCTCCTGGACATTTTTGTCAGGAGTTTTTCAAAGTTAATATTTACTTTGACTGTTGAATCTATTTTTTCTATTATATTTTTAAAGCCTGAGATTCTCTCTTCCATCTCTTTTATTCTGTTCATGACTCTTGCATCTGTAGTTCCTATTCACTTACCTACATTCTTCATTAACCAAATTCTCTCAGTCTGTGTTTTATTTATCCTATTTCCATTTTCAGGTCTTGATCAGTTTTGTTCATTTCCTTCAACTGTTTATTTTTTTGTGACATTCTTGACATTCTTTAAATGATATCTTGATTTTCTCCAATTTTTTTCATTATCTTTTCCTCAATTTCTTAAAGAAATTTATTCACTTTCTCTTTAAGAAGGTCTATCATCATCATAAAGTTGCTTTTAAGGTCATTTTCTTGTGCTTCAGATGTGTTGTAATATTCAGGGCATGCTATAGTGGAAAGGATGGATTCTGATGATGACATATTGCTTTGACTTGTTTTGATTGTGTTTTTTTTCCTTTTTTCTTTTTTTTATTTATTAAAGATTTCTGTCTCTTCCCCACCGCCGCCTCCCCTTTCCCTCCCCCTCCCTCAATTAAGTCCCCCTCCCTCGTCAGCCCAAAGAGCAATCAGGGTTCCTTGCCCTGTGGGAAGTCCAAGGACCACCCACCTCCATCCAGGTCTAGTAAGGTGAGCATCCACGAAACTGCCTAGGCTCCCACGAAACCAATAGGTACAGTAGGATCAAAAACCCATTGCCATTGTTCTTGAGGTCTCAGTAGTCCTCATTGTCCACTATGTTCAGCGAGAC